GACAACAGTAAAGTGGGTGAAGAAAGACATCGGACAGTGTGAGGCATGACAAAATAAGAATTTATAAATTATCAAGGCTTCATGAGGGAGGGGGAAAGGGGGGCCAGGGAGACGGGATAAAAAGAGGAGCTGATACCAAGGGCCCAAGTAGAAAGCAAATGTTTTGAGTATGATGAGGGCAACAAACCTGCAAATGTGCTTGACACACTGGATGGATACATGGATTGTGATAAGAGTTGTACGAGCCCCAAGTTAAAATGATTTTTTTAAAAGAGTAGAAAGCCTCCTCTTCCTCCCTCGTCTCCAAGTGCTGACCTCAGAGTCGGCAGCCCCAGGTGTAACCCCTGTGCCGCAGCCTCCTCTCTACTCATCAGCGTGACCACGCTGGGTGTCCTCTCTCCAAGAGAGAGCTCACGACTGGGACCCCCACTACCACTGGGACCTGAGTGCCCTATTAAGACGTGGGGGCAGCGCTTCCATCCCACACAGACGCCGGTCCAGAATGCTAACTCCAGGGAGTCGCTTCCGACCTGCGCGGAGGGTGTAGGACAAGACAGTTCACTGGAGAAGCCTTTTCAAATCGCTGCCGCCTGCTCCATGGGTGGGGAAAGGGTGGGGGAGAGGCATCACAAAATGTCAAAGACACAGACTCCAGGGTCTCCCTCGGGGTCTCGGCCAGCGCCTCCCACCAGCGCTTCAGGCATAACTCTGACCAGAGATGACATGACGTGTCACCCAGATCTCCAGGGAGAGAGGTGGTCAGGCGCGGCTGTTAACAGCAAGGTTGGCCGGTCCAGGGAGAAAGACCTGGTTGGTGGCCGGCTCTGGGTCAAGAGGGGCCCAATGGAGGTGGTTCCTCTCTGACGGGCTGGGTCACTGTCTAGTCTCCACAGCTGCAGACAGCAGCAGCCGTGAACAGGGACGGGGACTTTCACAAACAACAAGCAGAATGGAGTGTATTGGGGACATCGGGGAGACTCAATGGGGCGCAGCTGACAGGGAGCGACACAAGGTCACACACAGCTGGAGCCCCCCAGCTGCTGAGGCCACGCCACTGCACACTGACTGGTGCCGTGATCCCCGCCACGCTTAGTACCCCAGGAACGTGGACAGGGCGCTCACTCACAGTGCCCCAGGGAGACTTTTGTGGTTGGTTTCACGGTAGATTGGCAAGGGGAGCGCCAGTGTCTGCCCGTCTGAGCTACTGACAGGGGTCTGGGCCTGCAGGGGACAGTGGTTCCTGTGTTCCGGAACTTTTACTGAGAACATGCAGGTGAATCAGAGCTGTGTCTTTGAAGGAGAGAGAAGTGGGAGGCGTCCCAAAGAGGGCCTCCCACGCCAGCACCAGACTCACCTTCCCTTCCACGCCCACGCCGCAGTCGGACTCCTGGATCATGCTGACGTCATTGCCCCCGTCACCTGTGCGGCACGGAGAGAGAGAAGGCGGGAGGTGAGGGGCAGGCACCAAACCAGGGCTGAGCACGGGCTCAAAAGGGCTGCGCTGTAGCTGAAACTAGGACCGTGGGGGAGTGGCACAGGAACCAGATCTCCTGGACACCAGGCCTGGTCCTGAGTAGGAAGCAGACAGGGGTCAGCCCAGTCTACCAAGGAAGACACAGGGGTGCTGCCAGGCTAAAGTGTCCCCCTGGATGCCCAGCGAGGGCCTAGATCCAGCTCCCTCGGGCCTGCTCCTTGGCTTCTGGGATGCTGCCCAGAAAGGACCCCAGAGCAGAAGAGCCTCGTGGGCAATAGTAGCAACAGCAAAGTCACAACGTGAGCGGGTGTTCCAGGCCGTTTAGAGACCACAGCACAGAAGAAAATTTACCTTATGGAAAGTAACACACGCATACCAGCTGCTCAAGGAAGGGCCCAGCCCCTCACCTACCTACTACACAGGTGAGTGAGCATCCCGCTTACTGCACAGGTGAGTCCTCCCCCCACACACACACACTCTGCACAGGTGGCTCATTTCTGCATGGATGAACTTCCCAGCCACCACCACCCCAGCAACCTCCCCCATCTGTTGCACCGGTGGATCCCACCCCCACACCTACATAGGTGAGTTTCCCAGCCCCACTACCTAGTGCACGGGGGAGCCCACCTTGCCCCACTTACCTACTGCACAGGTGAGCTTCCCGGTGCGCTCCTGGAGCAGGCGCACGATCTGGGCCTTCTGGGTGGGCGTGCAGCGGCAGCAGACGACGGCAGGGCACTGGCAGGCCAGCTCCATGAACTCATACTCGTAGAACTTGAGGCACACCTGGGGGCAGGGGCGGGCAGCAGTGGGTCAGCCCCCAGCACGCAGCTCCCAGAGGAAGGGCCTTGGGATCCGTGTACCCACCTCCAGCGAGTCTCCGGAGATCACCAGGGCACAGTCATGCTTCCTGCGGAAGGCATTCAGCTCCAGGTGAGCCTCCCCACGGTTGGTCACCTGGATGGGAACGGAGGGGGATGAAACAGCCAGCAAGGGGGGCCGGTGTCGAGACCACAGCCACCCAGTGACCCCACCCACAGAGACAGGGCACCTCAGCCCTATCCTCCCCCCAGTTCCTCCCATCGCTGTCCCTCCCCACCAGGCCAGCGACAGCCCACGCAACAAGCCCCTGCTGGAGACGCAGCCTATGCGCAGAGTCCAGTGGGAAAACTCGAGCGTGGACGGAGTTCTGGCCTTCGGGGAAGCCCTTCACAGCCAGCTGCCTTGGGGGCTGGCCAGAGAGGGCACCGGCTGAGCAAGCGCGCAGGCCATAGTCCCTGGTGATAAGGACAGGAGAGGGTCTGCCTGGTCCCGGTGGACTGAGTTTACAAAAGCAAGCAGGCAAGCCAGCCCAAGCACCTGTCTGCCAAGGCCTGAACTTCAGACCACCTCTACTGGGACACAGTACTGGGTGTGCTATTCTGAGCCCTGCTGGATCCCTGAGGCTTCTGTGGGTCAAAGGCAGGGGTTGAGAGGAACCACCTCCCCCACCCGCCCCCTACACACAAGACATCTCGAGCCCCTCCAGGTGCTGACCCTCGTGGCTTTGTCTCCAGTGGGGCTGTCTGCGCCTGGACTAACAGAGACCCTGTGTTCCCAGTTCCTTAGCTCAGTCAAGCCAAGTGGAGACCCCAGTGGCCCAGGCTGGAGCAGCTCAGGAGGTAAATTCATGGCTGGACCAGGCTTGCTCACCCCCCAGGGCAGGGTGTGCTGATCAGCAGGCCCCACCACCCTCCTTTGACAGGCTTCTAGATAGTTCTAGAAGTTTCCCTTCTGGGGAGAGGGGCCAGTGGGCCAGTGTCTGGGTCTGGAAGCTAGTTCCCACCCATGGGCAAGGCCTGCCTGGGGCTGAGAGAGAGGCCAGAATGGGTGCCAGAGCTCATCAGCATCTTTCTGTGGGTAGGGCCTCAGCTCTCATGACGGGTGCCCGCCTGCCTGCCCCCAAGCCCAAGGCCGAGAACGTGGCGTGGACATGGGGCTGTAACTTACGAAAAGAAAGGAAACCCCTTTGTCGGGGCATCAGTTCTGACTCACGGGCACCCCATGAGTTTCAGAGCAGAAATGCGGGTTTATCGATGGCTGTGATCGTGCCCGAGAAGACAGCCAGGCCTTGCTTCCGAGGCGCTTCAAAGGTAAATAGCCAGACCTTCTCCGAGGGGCCTCCGGGAGAATTTAGAAAAAACGCCAACCTCTCGACTCATAGCTGAGTGTTTGGCCATCTGCACCACCCAGGCGCCCCACCGGTACCGCTCAAGCACCCCCAGGAAGAATCCATTCTGCAGCCCGGGATCCTAGACTACCCAACCGCCCTCAGGGCCTCTGAGGTCCCTGGGGCGGAGGCAGAGAGGGCGCTGTACCAGGCGGAAGACGTGGATGTCTTGGTTTCTGGTCACCAGGTGCGCATTCTTCGCTGTGCAGGTAGCCGTCTCCAGCTTGTCCCCCGTCAGCATCCAAACCTGCAATGAGCACATGGACCAGGCCCTGGGTGCTGGGTTCCGTGGCCGGCTGGGCAGCTGCGTCGGCAAAGTGTCCCGACCACGGAGCTGAACTCAGGCAGTTGAGAGCTTCAGGCCGGAGCCAGGCGAATGTTCCAGAAAGGCTGGTCCCTCGGACCTCATATTCCCCGTTCTGGGGGTCTTTCTTACAGCAGCAAATAACCCCAAAGAAGAGAAACGCTGTGTGTGTGTGTGTGTGTGTGTGTGTGTGTGTGTGTGTGTGTGTGTGTGTGTGTGTGTGTGTGTGTATGTGTGTGTGTGTGTGTGTGTTTTCTCTCTCATGGGGGGAGAGGGGGTGTCGAGAGCACATAAGAAGGACCCTCAGTAAATGAGCTCAATCCCTCCACAGCGTCACCCTTGAGCGCAGCAGGCCACGTGGCTAATTCTTGACTTAGCCAGGCCTGGAAGCTGGATCTCCTGATGGAGTCCATGTGGGAGCCACTTCCTGCTCTGCCAGTTCCCCACCGCCCGCTTCTCCTCTGCTCCCTGCAGGGAGGAGGCTGGCCACAAAGGATCAAGTCCTGGCCCTGGGGGAAACACAGGAAGTGGAGGGGACCAGACCCCAGGGGCCTTTGTGAGGCAGGAAGCTGAGCTGCTGCCCTGAGGGTCCAGCCCCTGCCAAGGGTCAGAATGGAGGGGCGGGGGTCGGAGCAAGAGCTCAGGCAGGAGGGGGCCCAGGACAAAGGCAAGGCACGGAGCCCCGGGCCACCACCTCTGTGTTTGACCCTGGGGGAGAAGGCAAGTTCTCGACATCAGGAAAAGAGCTGTCAGAGCACCCTGGGTGGGGCTCGAACCTGGGAGGGGATAGCAGAAAAAACCTAAATTCCAGGGAGCTCGAAGGGCACATCCAGGTAGGTGCCCCTCCCCGCCCCCCGCCCCCCAGCTCCGGCCACTGCCTGTGTGCTAACCTGGGGGCGTTAAGCTGCCCGCTCAGCCTCAGGCTCAGAGAGAAAAACTTCCAAGTTCTAGCACCTTCTGGGCCTGTGAACCACAGTACCTTAGACCCTCATTACAAACCAGCCTGCCGTGAGGTCAGCTCAGGAAGAGAGTTCTCAGACAGAAAAGTCCCCCCAGAACAGCTGGATGCAAAGAATTTCACCTCCAACCCTCTGAGAGGAGACAGCTTGGAAACAGCCAGGGCCAAAAGGGAAGCCCCAAAATGCACCAGAAACAGGCCATCCCCGCTATTTCCCTGCAGTGCTCAGATGCCAGGAGCCCCCGGCATCACAGGGCTGGGTTCACACTTCACGCATGGCTGCTGGTCTGGCCCACCCTGCTCACCAGCCCTGCTAGGGACAGGCACCCGGGGCCAGGGCCAGACCTGTTGGCAGATGGAGCAGGGTGGGCAATAGGCGTGCCTGGAGGAGCTCCCAGCTCGCGAGTTCTGAATGCATTTTGACTCAGTTTCTCAGCGCTTTGCTGGGCCCAGCAGACTCTGGCCTGGCCTCCCGCGCCCCCTGCTGGTCTCCCGTTGTATTCCTGGGTATATTTTATTGCTATAGTTGAGCCTAGGTGGTGCAGGGGTTACTAACCCTTGGGCTGCTAACCCAAAGTCAACAGTTTGAAACCACCAGCCACTCTGAGGACTAACGCTGAGGCTTTCGAATCCTGTAAAACATGATAAGTCTTGGAAACCCACGGGGCAGTTCTGCCCGGCCCTGTGGGAATCAATTCAATGGCAGTGAGTTTGGTTAAGAATTCAGGTCTCCCCCTGGGCCGGAAGTAGGCGTTTGCGGCGGGAGCGAGGAGACCCAGCCCTCCGGGTACTCTCGCCCGTGGCCGACTGGGGTGCCTGCGTGCACGTGTCAAGGGGTGTGGTTATGGTGGGGGGGCGCAGAAGGAAACCCTGCAGGAGAGCTCATGAATAAATGATTAGTTTCCGTTCTAAAAAAAAAAAAAAGAATTCAGGTCTCCCCCACATCAGAGAGGTCTCTTGCACCCTGAGCAAGAGGGGCGTTATCACGTTCCTTCCCTGGGCCCACTCAGCCACTCAGCACCATCAGGCCACCAGGGCACCAAGCTGTGCTTGTGAACTGCGTGCGTGCGTGCGTGCGTGTGTATGAGTATGTGTCTGTGAGAGAGAGAGATTTTGGGTGCTAATAGGTGTGATTCAGTATGACTTAACACTCACTGCCATCAAATCAATTCTGACTCACAGCAACCCCACAGAGCAGGGTAGAACTGTCCTGTGGGTTCCTGAGATTGTAACACTTTATGGGCATAGAAAGCCTCCTCTTTCTTCTTGATATGTTGGTAGGTTATTTTGGGGGGTCTGAGAACACTCAAAATTACTGCCCATATGACTTCATAGCGACTAGTCCCTTGCTTTTGCACCATTTGGGCGAATGAGTGGTTTCATAGGAACACCCTGCTTCTGGAAAGTGGGGGACCCCGGTATACACAACAAAGCACACACCAATTCAACAGACTGCAGTGCTGTACAGGAGCAGCCAGCCCCAGCCTTCTTCCTGGTGCGGGACTTGGTAGGTTACTTTTGGGGAACAAGTCAATAACGCTGGGGGCATTCTTTGAGCTGTACAGCAGCCCACCTCCCTTTCTACGCAGTCCTGCCCCTGCTGACACAAACCCCCCTGAGGGTCCTGCCCACTCTCCCCAGTTGCTGCTGTCCCTCTGACCCCAGAGAGAAAGGCCCAAACAGTGCAGCGCTCTCGGCTGACATTCTCTGCTACGTAAGCTAAACCGTCGTCTGGGTTGACAATGGCCGAGGGGATCTTCTTGGGTTGAGACTCAGGGAGGAAGCAGGGTGCCCAGTTACCATCACTCAGCACTGAGAACCAGCACTGCACAGAGGAATCCTGTTCCGAGAGAGAGACAGAGAGAGGCAGAGCAGAATCTCACGTTCTCACAGAATCCACTCTCTGGAGCCACAGAGCCCGGAAAAGCCCTTGAAACAACAGCCCAGAATAGACATTTGGGCCTAACGCGAGAGAGAGCTCCCTGTCGACAGAGCAGCTCACTGGAGCACCCAGTTCACTCATGCACCAGACGGCAAACACCTGCAGGGCTGGACACGGGTGCCGAGGGGGCAGGAATGCAGGCTGGGGCTGCTTCTACAGGGGGCTGAGGGTCAGTGGCCATGCCCGCCCGGCTCCTGGTCCCTTCGCACTAAGACTCCGCCTCCCCGAGGAAGCACCACCGGGCGCAAGCTGCCGCCGGAGGCTTGCCCACCTTGATGCCTGCATTGCGCAGGGTCTCCAGGGTGGGCCTCACATCAGCCTGCAGCTGGTCCTCCACGCCTGTCAGGCACAGCAGCTCCATCTCCATCTCTAGGCTCTCGATCACCGTGGCCACCTTGAGCGAGCGGTCATGCACGCTCAGCTTGGCCTGGACATAGCGGGCCTGCAACAGACCAAGGGATACAGTCACCGTGCAAGTGACACCGAGAGTGGACACCGAGAGTGGACAGGGCTGTTTGTTCTTGGCCCCATCACCCATCCTCGCTCGGGTAGGGCGACCCCAGCACCATCAAGCAGGCTGGAGCTGGGGCAACCCGAGTCACACGCATGGCGGTGAGTCTGCCGGCATCTCCTAAACTTCCTGGTCCCTGACCCGTTTCGTCCTTGGAAGGACCATACCAAGACCCCCAGCCCTGCCTGCCTGTCCTCTCCCTGGAAGGCTAGATGAGACTTAGAAGAAAAAACATTCCCTCTGAGCCCATTCAAAGCATGTGCTCTTCAAAGAGGAAGGGAGGCAGAATGTATCCAGGGTGTCTATCTCCTTGTGGTAGTTACATAATCTGTTGTCAATTTGCGACTTACAAGGGAAGGGATGGAGTTTACCCATCAATCGGTTCAGAGCTTGATGACCTCATTTGGAGGCACCACGGAGATGAATAGCTCGCTGGAGGAGGGACACATGCTCACTCCCTAAGAGGGGAACCGGAGGAGGAGGATGTGGGCCCCCAAATAAGGTCCTATACCCCTGCACCAAAACCAAACCCACGAGTCGGTGCCAGCTCATAGCGCCCCGACGAGACCTAGTAGAATGTCCCCCCACCCCAAAGGGCTCCCGGGCTGTATATCTTCACAGACTCGGCCTCCTCATCTCTCTCTGGAAAAGCAGCTGGTGGGTATGAACCACCAACTTGGCGGTGAGCAGCCCGACGCTTAAACCACTGAGCTACCAGTGCTCCAAGGTCACACCCAGCTGTGCGTAAGGAGGTAGAGTGGGGTGCCCGCGGGGAGGGATGGCTTGGTGCCGCCTCTGACTGGCATACCTGGAAGACTTCTCCGAAGTGGCAGTCCAGCTGAGCCCCCACCCCCACCCCCGGGACATGGGGGCGTGGGCCATGGCGTTCTATACGGGGAGGCCTTCTGGGCCGAGAGAACAGCATGCCGTGGCCCTGAGTCTCAGGTAAACCCGAGTCTCAGGTAAACCTGAGTGTCAAGTCGAGAGGTATCTGGGGAGGGGGCCAGGACTGCAAAGACCAAGCGGGAACCATGGGGTCAGAGCGAGGCTTACTTCAAAGTCCTGGTACTGCTCCTCGGCCAGGGACTTCTTCGCCACCACAAGCACCCGCAGTCCTTCTCGAGCCATGTTGCCGCACTGCAGAGCCGAGCAGAGTCAGCCGAGGAAGCTCCCCAAGAGACGAGCCCTCTCTGAGCCCCCCCAGAGCAATCTCCCCCCAAACAAGCCCTCCACAGGAAGGCTGCTGAGCGGTGCCCCCGAGCCAGACGCACCCAGGAGCAGGCTGCCCTTGCCCAGAGGTGTGAGCATCCAGTTTGAATCAACACCGAGAATGCACACCAACCAGCATCTGCTGGCACTGGGCATGGGTTCCCGCAGATCCGCCATCACGGGAGGCTGAGAGGGGGCTGGGCTGTTCCTGCATCCGGACCCCAGGGGGGGGGAAGTGGAGGATGTAGCAGGGGGTTGAACCTGCCGAGTGGGCAGGGTCCGAAGAACAGGGCTGGGCCTGCTTCATCCATTGCTGTTACCTGCCTGGCAACCACTGTACTGAAAAGACCAGTGGGCTCCCCACCTGGAGCGGAGGCAGGAAGCAGAAATGGCCTGCCGGATGCACACGGAGTGCTTCATACCACAACCCCATACCCACACCCCGAAAGCTGCCCAGTTCTATGAGGGTGAGACTACGCAAGGCAAGCAGCTCCGAGCCCCGCTCCCCTCCGGGTAGTCACACCTGGTGTAATCCCCTCCCCTGGGGCATGGGCCAGGCTGAGTGGTGTGTTCCTAACAGAGGGCAAGTGGCAGAGTAAAGGAACGTCACTTCCAGGATGATGGGAGATGACTGGCGGTGGGGGTGGGGGGAGGCTTCCAGCCACACCAGGGAAGACTGGAGAGGCCCCTGGTGCACACGGCACTGGCTCCTGCCAACCTCATCAGGGCTCTTGGAAGGAGGTGAACACGAGCCAGCCAACAGTGGCCACACCTGCCCAGAGAGATTTCTCTGGCTGTAGTAAGTAACTGCTCCGTAGTACGGGTTTGGGGTTATAAGCCACTAAGTGTGAGTGGGCTTTGCTGCATGGTCCTAGTTTATTGTGCCAACCTGACCGATAAACACATGTGGGGCTAATTG